TGGACCCGTCCGACGCATCAGACAAAGTGGAGACGACTATGGAGGTAAAGCGCAGCAGCCGAGCTAAACCCTTGTGTTGGTTGGCAACCATAGCCTTGCGTTGAACCGTGCGTCGAAGATAGGTTTTATGCGCATTCCTTGTTTGTTTGGGTTTCGATTTCGGCGAAGTCAAGGGACACCAAGAACCAATGATTGAGTTCCTGGATCCGTGGCAGGCGGCATCGCCTTAGAATAAGGAGGTACAGGCGTACATCAATAGTTACATGCAATCCCCTGGTATACAATCGTTGCAGATCCAGCCGACTCGTTTTTCCCTCGAAGACTCACGCCGGTAATGCAGTCCGAGGACGGCGGAGGCAAGTGTGTGATACGTTTCTCCCGCATGAGAAAAAAGCTCTGCATACGATCCTGTGCCTTCCTAGGAACGCACACGTCAATCAGCGTTCCCAGGCTGATTATGTCGCGGCCTCACCTTCATCGTAGCGCCGAGAGCGCGCAGGAACCTTTGGGCGACAGGCCCGAGCATCTGGAGGCTGCTGAATACATGCAGGGGGATCTCCTCCACACTGAACTCTGCGATGCCCATCATTTCAATCGTGCCCAATTCCCGCGTGATAACGCGACCCACCGGCAAGAACATCTCTTTTGTCAAAAACGCCCTGGATCATGGCGTGTATGACAGGTTCTATCTTTTTTACTTCAAGAAATACCGCATCTGCATCTTCCTTGCTGAAGGTGCCATGCGCCTAGGATGCATATCTTCATCAATTCTAATAAGGAAGCCTATAAATGAAAATGCCACCTGCAGAGCGTCGCTCGCATAATCGAGGGATGGGATCAAACCTTCCGCAGCGCTGTACAGGCCCTGGATAAAATCAGTACCTTGTCAGTTGCATAGAAAGGCAAGTGGAAATACGACACTCGCCAGAGGGACCGTGCTGTTTATGACGAACGGCGGTAACACCCTAAGGGTTGATCCTAGTTGGGAAACTTGGTCGCCCAGAGATGAAATGGATGCTGTGAGTTTTAGAAGTGAAGAGGTGTTCCCAGACAGCACTGAGCCGGCGAAGCACAAGACCACGAAAGATAAGAGTTTCATGTTGTATTCGGGTAAGGACCTTTGTTGTCAACTCTTAAGCGCCATTTATACCTTGCTAAATCCCCTCCTAGTGAACGCGGGCCTCGCATCAGGGAAGGACTGAGGTCGATGCTGGAGACGGGGCGATGTCTCGCACCAGATGTCTTCGATCATGTCGAACAAGATCCCTACTGACAGGATATCTGTCGGGAGCTTCGTGAACAAGGAAAAAACAGAATTCAGGAGGTGCAGAATCATAGGATCTTGAATTGCCATTGGTCAAGGTTCACAGGCGAAGATATTCTGAGGTCAGGGCCGTGATTCATAACAGACCAGGAGCAATCAAGAACCAATTCGCCACTTGGATGGCAGACAGGTCGGATAGAAGCGATGTGAGGTTGCTGGTAAGACTATAAGAGGAACTTTGGTAGAGGGAACCACCGGAGAAGGACCAGTCATCCGGTAGACGACGGCTCTGAATCAAAGGCAAGTTGAAAAGAGACCGATCATTGACGGCAAACGCTGGCTATAAACCGCCATCTACGATGTGTCGCTGCTGGCCATACTATGGTTTCATCTTCGTCAATCCTTCACGCTGTTCTCCTCGCTTGGGCATCTCAACCCAGCGAGGAACCAGAATACTATCCCCCAGATTTCGTCGTCCCAATAGCAGCAAGATGGAATACGACTGGTAGGCCATTCAAGTCTGGGCAGAGGGGCGCGTCTAGGGCCGCATTCCTGCGAACCAAAGCCCAAAATAAATACCAGGGTTCCTCGTCTCGAGCGGTAATTAGCGAGCCAATCGAGGACGATACCACGATCTATGTGGTTAGCTATCATATTTTGTCTGTGCGCGAGATAGCGACGAGCCTCCTTTCCTTCAGGCTTCTGTCGCTGTTGGATCTGCGGGGACTACCTGTGAGTCTTCTCGCCATCCTCAATGGACTCTGATGGTTTCAGCTCATAACCATCCAGACAACTTGATTGTGGATACTACGAGCGGCAACACCTGGCTCGGGGCCAACAAGGCATATGTTGTCACCGCTACCAGGTCCTTCCGTACTTCATAATTCGTTAACGCAGCGTTCACTATGCTTCATACTCTAGCCGTCCTGCAGGAAGCAGCGTCGTATGATTTCCCTTCCTCCTCTCGGTACACTGGCTTATGCATCAATATTAGGAAGTCACATTCGGTGAGGTTGCTGCCGCCAGAATTCGGTGTGCTTCGTATTGAACCCACCAATAAGGCGGGGAAATTTTCTCAGGTAATATTCAGCTGCCCTATTAGCAAGCTTCGCGCGGTTTTTCATTTCGTATAGGGACGGAATTCCAGGACCAAGTGGTCCTCGCCGACGTAGCAATGCCGAACAAGTCCATCGGTGTTGTTACACCCAGCACCGTTCTGAACGGAATTGACGGCATCCTGGGGTCCGTTGTCCACTCGTCCCTTCCCTCCACGCTACTGAACTCTCGCCGATGATAGGATAGGCCCCGAAGAACTATGTATCTAATTTATCCAGAACTCTTACCTATATGTTAACGCTCCTCTAGCCATTGGCACCCTGGCCTCCAACCTGACACAGGGCATACCGACTATCGTGCAGACACTCTCGTGCCAGGGAAACATCACGACCCAGTTATACGCCATCGCCCTTCAGCCGACGACTAGTGTCATGTCACTCAACGGTGAAATTAGCTGGGGTGCGCTTCTTTCCCATCATCCCTGACTTGATTCCCGGTCCAATTCTAAATCGTCTACAGGCGGCGTCGACAGCACCAAATTCACGGGGCCCATCGCATGGAGGCGAGTAATCGTTGTATCACCACCATTGGCATCCGCTTATACACAGCTACAGCTCCATCACAATGCGTACGAGAACCTCCACCCTTCCGTCGCTCCCAAATGATTGAATACCCGAATCGAAAGAGGCCCCATCAGCTGAGTTCTGGGGCATCGAAATGGCCTTCTCGTACGGTGCCACCTCTCTCCTGCCCCCAACGGCTGCCGGTATAATTGACACTGGTGGGTGGAACCCCCTATCTGCGTGCCTTCAAATTTACAGCACGATCCAAAGGCTCGACCCTCCTTTTTCTCGCGAGCGACGCCTATAGCCGCTACGCCGCGCTAACAGGCGCGACGCTGGATTCCGCCACAGGCCTCCTGACTGTCCCGAGCATCGCCAACCTCCAACCGCTCGTCGTCGTCATGAGTGCGCCCGCCCGCCTCCTAAACCCTACCCACTGCCTCACACCCGCTATTGTAGACGGCACGTCCTTCACCTTCTCCCCAAACGCTCAAGTCAGCCTCCCTTTCTCCTCTCGCATACCTCGCCGCCAGTGACTAATGCCCACTTGCATAGCTCTGGCCCCGCGCGCTGAACACCGCGATCGGTGGCTCGTGCTGCAAGATATACTTGGTGATCGCAGATCTTGGTTCGCCGAGCGGCTCCGGCCTCGATTTTATCCTAGGTGCGCATCTCACTTTTGCCCTCCCCATTTTCTATCACAGCGGAGCGCTGACGAATGGGTGGGTATTCCACGGTAAATAGGTCTGGTGTTTTTGCAGCGCTTCTACAGCGTGTTCGACTACATAAACGCGCAGGTCGGGCTTGCAGTTACGCCGTTTACTAATGCGACGTCGAATTAGGTTTGGGACTGGTACAGGAGAGGGTTGGAAACGGGTGGCGTAGACATATTGTTTCATTTTGCGTCATACCCACCTGATCATTTAAAATGGTACTCAGCAAGGAAGTGCAGCTGGCATTGGAGAAACAGAGCAGGCAAATCGGGTAAGCCTCGAATGTACAGTAATTACCCACATACCGGAACCCTTGTCATACGAACCCAGGGTTTGAACATTGGTTGGGATTGGGTTCTGGCTGGCTCAACAGGTCTCGGCGGATGCTTTGTTATTCAAGCCTATACAGCTGAGTTGAAGGAGCTGTACATGCTGATGAACGTGGTGTGGATATTACAACCCGGCGGGTAGATTTGGAAATACACGGTGATGTTACATATGTACACTTTTGTTCCTTCAATCCCGCCGGATGACGCGGCGTGAAAGGCTTTTTTTTGCCGTCTCGGACTCTAGAATCGTGATATGTCCACCAGAATGTCCTCCGAAGTCAACTAAGATGAGAATCAATACTACAGTATTAATGAAACTGGAACGAAGCGGACTCACTATTTGACTGCTTTCGCGCAAGGAAAGTTCGTATTTCCTCCTGCTCAACCCTCCAACTTGTTCAAGCGAAGTGCTCCGCGCGATCAACGTTCACTTCTACGGGCGCGGGGAGGTCCAGGGACACAGCGTTGTTGCGCTTGCGTCTGGGGAGGTTCAAAGCAGTAGGCCCGATGGCGCCCTTTGCGGGGATGGTGGGGAAGTAGACTCGTCACCAGTCTGCCTGCGAAGGGCAAAAATGTGGCTAACCGTACACTTCCGGTTCTGATATTAAGGCATACATCTCGCACTCTAAATCGAAAAGGAGGGGACGTCCCCGCAGAAGATGGCCAGGCTTAACCTGATTATAATTTGCCAATTTTATACCCATCATCTCAACTTGCACAGGAAAACTCGCCGCTTTGGTCAAAGCGAGGCACAACCTCCCTAGAACAAGACCTGGTAGCAAGAGGCCTCGCACCCGCACTGCGTGTAACGGTATTGTTGTACACAACAGCGGGGAACCCTGGTTCGAATCCAGGTCAGGTCATGGTACATCCATCCAGCACGAGATTTTTGCTTTGATGATGAGCTAGGGTTCTGGACTCTGAGGACTGGGGACTATACGGGGATTCGGCTTTCGTGTATGAGAGCTGGTGGGGAGGTCCACGAATTCATAATTCCCGGTTCTGCGGGATGAATCGCACGATGATGTCCCAATCAAACGTGTCCCCAATTTGAGGTTCCACGTCTCTAGAATAAGACCTGGTGGCGAGAGGTATCGCACCCGCACGACACATGTCTTTGTTGTTGAAAAGTATTGCATACCTGCGGGGAACCCTGGTTCGAATCCAGGTCAGGTCATTCATTGCTGCTGGCGTTTATTTTGCACCATCTCGGTTTTGCTTCGTTGATCGACCAGGTAGGGATTTTGAGAGCTACGCAGGAATGGAAAGAACGGATGAGGAAGGTCAGGCAGGACTGGCTCGAGGCGGAGACAACATCCATCGATTATTCTTCCTCGTAGATAGTACACTGGAACAGCGTTCTTTTTGGCGCTTCTTACTTACCACCGGCGCTTCTCCCAGTCAGCCATGAGCCGGTACTCCATGCCCAGCATGCGAACGGTGGATCACTAAGCGGAGGGAGAGCGGCGGGAGGGCGTGAGGCGGTGAGGCAGAGAAAAAGAAAGAAACAGAAGGGAAGAAAATAAACAGGAGGACGCACGCCCATCCTGCGAGGCCGCGACAATAATAAATTCCCTGGCTGCGCGCGCCGCCTCCCTCTGCATCGCGCGCACGTCGACACGGCACCCGCCGCCACGCTGGGCGTGGTGAACGCGACGAACACCATGCGCGCGGAGGTGTAGAGCGCAGCGGGAAGGGGACGGGGTGGAGTTACGGGTTGTGGGTACAACACCAAAGGCAACAGAATATCGAGTCAGATGCGAACAGGTCGGGCAGGCCTAGGGCGGTCGAGCGGGCACAACGAGTGGCGGATCCATAAGTTGAGACGTCCCACCCGACATCGCCCTTGGCCATCTTGGCGAAGTCCCACGCAGCTGCGTCACCCTCGCGTTCAGTCCTACAGCAAAGGGAGAGGGGACGGGAGGGAACGCACCCCGCTCGGCTAGCGGGTTGGAGGCGCGGTACTTGGGCCCGCTGGACGCCGTGCGGCCCTGCGCCTCCATTTCCGTCATGGATGCTCGTTCTAGTTCAGCTCGCCTGGGAACTGCTGCGAGGGCGAGAAGGACATGACGACGGCCCACGAAGCCGTCATGCGCTTCACATCGATGCTGCACGAGAGGCGTTTGTTTCACCACTGCGCGAGTCGAGCATTTCCCCAGAGCTAGACAGAGTGAGCGTAGCAGCTCATAGCAGTGAGACGCAGTCTGCCTGGATTCTAATTTCGGACGTAGAACAGCGACGGCGTGTGCGCAATCGTGCCGACACCCTTGGAAGTTGACGGCCGTGTCGAATGTCGGTGACGGTGAAGAGCTCGCGTACGGCGCGAAGGCGCATGGCGGGCATGATGAGGCCAAGCTTAAGATGACGCGATGACGAACGGCCTGCGGGCGTGCACATGCCGACAAGCCGTCCGTCGGCAATTTCCGTCCAGGATGTCGGACGGTTGAAGCCACGGTTCGGTGCCGCATCTACCCGCCTACATCCAGCGCAAAACCTCAGCAGGGTGATGTACCCCGCATACAGTAATGTGCTAAGAGGTCGGTCTTGCAGAACTAAAGATGAGTAAATTCGGTTGGATTGCTGGAACATTTTGAAGGCAAATATGTCTTCCGATGGGTCAAACGAGTTCCGTAGTTCTGCACGCGCAATTTGGATAGCATAGCAACGTACTCTCTTTACGCAACGACCTAGCCGAAAAAGTTTCAACCGCAAAGCTAAAATGGCCTGACTCCGAGTCAAACAGGAATCTTCTGCCTAAATCTTTATCTTCAATGGTATTAAAAGCAGACACAGTGACCATTGTGCAGGCCGTTATTACCTACCGTTGATTCTCAAGTTGATTCCACCTCCATCGAACTTTCCAAAAGAAATGATGATAAAAAAGCAATTTGCGCGCAGATAACCTGACCCCGAGTCGAACGGGGAACCTCCTGCTGAGCCATTAAAGGACAAGACATTTAGAGCAGATGCATAACCATTATGCTATCAGGTCCATACCTTCATTATCCCTTTGCCTCTATGTATGCCTTCTGAAATTACGGACCGCTTCAAACTTTCCCCACTTGAAACGGAACAACATACTAAAAACCATTACAGCTCTTTGCGGAACTTAGGGCGCGGACGTTTTTTTTGCCTTTTCGGGCCGTTTTTGAGAGTTTTAACGAGGACAGCCGCCCCGGGCTCAAATCGTGTCCGTTTCCCCTGAAAGTAGGTGCATTCTCTCCGCGTCAAGGATGCGCAGCGAATGGTCTCTTCGTAATTTCGTTCCAAGACCTAAAGCACATCTGTGGCCCAGGTATTTCTGTTTTCACCGATTTTCTTCAATAATTTTGACGAGGACAGCTGCCCCGGACTCAAATCTCGGCCATTTACCTCGGGAGTAGGCGCGTTCGATTCGCAATCTGAATACGCAGCGAACGGTCTCTTCAGAATCCTTCTCTAGTGCGTAGGATTGATTCTTGGCACAGCTAGTTCTGGTTTGACTGGCTGTCTTCAATTGCTTTGACCAGGACAGTTGCCCTGGCCTTGAATCGTGTCCGTTTCCCTTGGGAATAGGCGCGTTAGACTCGCGTCCAGATTCCGCAGCGAACCGCGTCTTCGGATTATCACATGCGGCTTTTGGTCATTGTGCAAAGCCGCAGGGAGAACAGAGTATGTGGGGCCTCAACAACATACATCTCAGTAGATTACATGTAAAACAAGTGTATAGTAGATGGTTATATCCTGAGACTGTCCGGGCTGAGCACCAACGGTGTTAGAGCAGCCTACAATTCAGCGGCTTGAACGATGCCGTTAAAAAACGGGTTTTGCGAGCTCTGTTGGCAGAAGTTTTTCCACACTATTGAAGATTTCAGTGTGTCAGGCATCGAATAGAAGCTCGGAGGTGCAATGGTGGTGCTTGACTCAAAATAAACAGGAAAGCCGCTGCGGCTTTGCACAAGTGTCAAAAGCCGCATGCGGCTCGTGCACATCTTGTCTAATATAAATTTATAAAGCTCTCCGCAGACAATCTTGGCTGTAGGTGGGGATATAATCATCCCCTTGCTCTTGTGCTGTCGGGATTAACCTGGAAGCGAGGATGGACCATCGACAATTACGTAATTGTGTTGACAATAAGCTGCTCCACTACGCGGTAGACGTCTCGGAGTGGCCGGTGCAAAAACTAGTTTTCCCGTCTCATCGCGGCAGCGTACCGGCTATCGGCCCAAATCAGGTCGAGTGATCGTTCAATTTGAAATTTCCTGACTCACTGTGTTCAGAATAATCTCGGACGCGTCCATGGTGCGGAGGGTTGCGCGGGAGTTGAGGCTGGGGAAACAGGACATATGGTGAGTCGGGGGCGAGTGAAGTGAACCTGGAACTCACGTTGCGAAAAGTGCGTTCGAGTACACTACATTGGGCGAATCAGCGACTTGCTTTTGCAGTTCCCAGATGCGGTACATACATTTAGCCGTCACGAGATACCAGGCGACCCATATATCTGAGAGATGATTGACAATGTATGATGCATCCATCACCAGGGAGCTGGCGTACATTTGTTTTTCATGGTAACAATCTGTCAGAGATAGAAATCAGCGACTCGGTAGAGCTGGTCTCGAACAGGGCGCCATACAGTTATCAAGACTACGAGTCCTGTGACACTGAATATGGCGATCAGCCTGAGTTCTATTATGCACCGGGATTTAGACAGCTTCTGCTTGCCTAGTCATGACACCGGTTTCTACCACAATGAATGAATTTGCATGCCCAGGATGAGCTGACCGGAAGCACAAACCTAGAGTCCATTTCATGACTTTATCCACTAATGCGATAGTTCTGCGGTAGATCAGAACCAGCTACTCGGAGTCGCCAGAGCTGTGCTGACCTTCTACTCTCCGAGAGTGCGCGCTGTTTCCAGAGCGCATGGGTGAGTGCGACGGCAAGAATGATATCATTTGAGGACGAGACAGCCCAGATAGATTTTAACAGCCAGCTCCATTGCGTTTCCCAGCCCATGGTACTCGTCATGCGGATGGGGCAGACGAAGAGAAACGTGCAGCCTAGCAGGCGCAAGAATGATAGCACCCCGCAAAGGCAAGGCATGAACCAGGCATGTGAGAGCCTGTATATTCGTGCCGCAAAGAACCCTTGAACTGCGAGGTAGCTTAGTTGACATAGATTGAATTGGGAGTGGTCCAAAAACCGACCGCATGCGACAAGGAAGCCAGAGAAGAGTAGTGCCACAGCCATCGAGTCCGGCGCGCGCAGTAAACGTTCCGGGGGGCCGTAATCAGAGACGGAGACGGTGTAGATCGAGTGCCCGATACTAATAACATGGCCCATTTCCAAAATCCTGTCATTATCCCAAGTTCAGCACGGGACAACATATAACCTAAGCAGTGTACTTGCCACACGGAAGTGACTTATTCACCGCTCAATCATTGTAGTCAGAATCGGGGCCTACATGTGCGTACGCACGAGGATTTGAGTTTCAGAGAATCGCTCGGAAATAAGCCATAATATATGTACGCCTGGGTAGTTTCAATCCCGAAGAGCACGAAAGATACAAGGACGCCTACTTCGAGGGCACCTTGATGGTATGGAAACGTTCAATGAACGCTCTCTAAGGTGCGAAATTATGGCCCACCAATCGTGCCATTGATGTCGAAGGGCTGAAGTGGGCCATGGATACAGCTTCGCGTAGGGAGGAATCAATGCAACTTACTGTGAGTCGCTTTTAACTCACGGGCGCGCGCCTACGCCGGGATAGCCGACGTGCCGCCCCGAGGGGGAGCCGAAACGCTGGGCGAAATTGATTGGCGGTGCATTTATTGTCGTACTGTATGCTGCTTGACATCGTCGGGATTCTTAGGTCACCGGGGTTCGGTGAAAATGATGTGCCCATGATATGAGCCGACTCTGAGTGTTGCTTTCTGGGTCGTGGCCACTGTCCGGTGTCCCGCTGTATTGTTTAGAAACAAGGCTTTCCCCTATGTTCGGCAGTGGGCCCCGCTATCCAAATCAGAGGTCTGAACGTCTCCTCCAGCGCCAAGTAGCTGATATTAAGTATCGGTATTCTTGTGCCAGGCGCTTGGGAGAGCCGGGTCAAGGCCATGCCGACGTGCCGCGCTTCTGGTTCGGAGCAAAGTTTTTTTTCTGGAAGACATTCGACTAACTCATCATTCTCGTCCATCAAGTCCGTACCCGTGGAAATTTAATTTACGTCCACATATAAATATACAGTTGCTGGGTTGCCGTAAGCTCCTTCTCACTTTTCTCACTGTTTCCACCCCTCGCCGGCTTCCTCATGGCAATCAGTTCAACGGTCACCAACTATACGCTCGACGGAACGTTGGCGCCATTGGAAATTGGTGCCATGGTTGGCACATTCCTTTTTGGAATTTTAACTCTGCAAACTTTCAATTATTATCGCCAATCTCCGCGAGATTCAAGACTGCTCAAGCTCACGGTACGGTAGTATGCTCACTCAGTGAGCTCCATCCCTTACGAATGGATAGATCGCTACAACCTGGTCATTATTGTTCGTAAATGGCGCAGAACATCCTTGCTGACAAGTACACTCCGCAGGCTGCTCGAGCTCAGCCACACGATCTGTTCCTTACATGCAGTGCGTCTTTCGTGCTTCTCAGGAGCTGTTCTGACAAGCACAAGATTTACTGGATAACTGTCACTACCCACGACCGGCCTTCCTATGCAATTGTCGCCGAACCGCCACAGTCCCTTTACATCACGCTCGTGTCCTCCGGAGGGATACATCTGTTGTTTCAGGTGCGGATCGATTTCTCAAATCTTGGGAAACAATTAATACTAACCTCGTTATATAGCTCTTCTTTGGCAACCGAATTCGAGTGCTCTCCGAGCGCCTCCACATTTTCCTTCTGTGTGTTGCATTCGGAACTTTGCGATGTATCATTGACATCACCATCATGTCACATATTTGGATCGACAATGCGGGTTTTTTTAATTCTGAATTCGAAAATCCGGTGGGAAATGATCACGGCCACATATCTCCTTATCCCCTATATATTTTTGGACGATTCAAAGTGTGGGATGGTAGAGGACATCCCGGGCTACAATCTGATTCACTTAGTTTGCCCAAGAAAATATCCTGGCAAGAGTTTGAAAATTTGAACTTCCAATCTTTTCCGTATTTCGGCCCGAATGATGCAGAAACCTGATATTTTGATCTGATCAATTGTCTAGCCCTCTCCGCCAGGTCCTCCTCTACAATCCTATACTTTGGTTGAAGGGGAAATATGCACCCAATGTGGAGATATGATCATGAAATCGATCGGACATTTCTTTTGTCCAGTTAGTGTACCTGCCGCTATGAACCAGAAGGTACACTCCAGATCCTCCGTGGCATTGCATCGTCTGACGCTTTCTTTCCAAGTTGGACGAAAAGCCAAAGTCACACTTGTCAATACCCGAGGATACATTGTAGCTCTGCATCCTACGTCATTCTCATTCCAGGCCCCGAAGTCGTCTGACTCGGAATGGCACCCGGTGGACTTGCGTTGCATTAATCATGCTTCCCCGCTGTACTTAAACAACTCAACTGTCTGCACCCGACTGATTGGGTTGAGGGTGATTTGACAACGGGTATGAGCGTCGAACGTAGTCGGGGGTAAGCTAAAGCGGGGGCTTGAACGGTGTCCGCTGAATAATATCTGGTTACGAAACCGTCTATGAAATATGACTATAAGAATCCGTAAGTACGGAGCATTGGGAAAGTTTAGTAATGTCAGACGACGCAGTTTGCATTGATAAATGTCTCTCAGCGGGGAATTCTCGACGTAGAAGTCGCAGCGAACGTTTTTTCTGCTAAGGTCCTTGGTTTGAGCCTGCCAAGTTAGTTTTACACCAAAGCAGAAATAAAATTCAAACTGATTTGTGCAGTACACGATCCCTAAAAGGCCCATTCCACAGGAAAATTCAGTCAAGTATGCTGTACCAAGAGACCGGGGCACAAGTCCGGGTGGCGGGCCCGCT